AACTAAGAACTCTTAATTTAGGTCCTGGTCTAATGAAAAAAGATCTTAGCTTGACCCACATGCTTTTTTATAGCTTCTTTTATCTCTTTATTCCTCAGGCTATAGATAATGGGGTTGAAGAAAGGGGACAAAACTGCAAAGCCCAGAGCAATGGCTGTGTCCCAGAACAAGGAGTAGGTGGCAGAGAAGCGTAGGTACATGAGAGCCACGTTACCAAAGAAGAGCAAAAACACAGTGAGGTGGGAGACGCATGTGGAAAATGCTTTACGGCGGCCTTCAGCTGAACGAATATGTAGAATCACAGCCACGATACCAACGTAGGACATGACAATGAGCATCACAGCTGTGACAATCTCCACTGCATGCACAATATCAACTATCTGAATCATGACGATGGCTTGTGTGTCTATGCAGGCCAGGCGCAGCACTGGGAGGAAGTCACAGAAGATGTGTTCAAGGTGGTTTGAGCCACAAAATGGCAATGTGGAGATCCAGGCAATCTCAGGGAGGGGTGTGATAAAGCCACAAACACAGCAACTTAAAGTCAGTTGGGCACATAGCTTGGGACTCATGATAGTTGGATAATGAAGAGGGCTGCAGATGGCCAGGTAGCGATCAAAGGCCATAGCTGTCAATAGACATACTTCACTGATGCCTGTGGAATGGAAGAAATACATCTGCAGGAGGCAACCATTTAAGGAAATGCTCCTCCTTTCACTAAGCAGGGTCGAGAGCATCGTTGGGATGGTGGCTGTAGTATACCACATCTCCAGAAAAGAAAGCACACTAATGAAGAAGTACATAGGAGTGTGGAGGTGAGTATTCAGCTGGACCACTGTGATGATGACCAGGTTTCCAACAACGATGAAAACATAGATGAAGAGCAGTGGAACAAAGCAGATGACAGACTCTCCCCAGGAAGAAGGGAAAGCAGAGAAGATAAACTCCTGTGACGAGGTCCAATTGGGGGCCTCCATCTCCAAGGTGGAAGTGAGAGTTTCAACTCCCAATGCACTCAAAGCCTCTCTGAGGTTCTGCTATTGATCAGAGAAATACATTTGCCAGAAGTCAGCCTCTGGATAGATCCCTGTATTGTGTACAGAGGAAGACAAAGGAAGAAGGAACTGGTCCGTATCCCATAGTTGCTTACAAATAAAGTTGTAGCATGGAAAAAGTCCAGTCCAAAAGCACAGCCAGTATTCTAGACCAGTGATTCTCAAATTTTAGTATGAGTCAGGACCACTCGTTGTTAAAACGCTGAGTGCTGGTCCCCACACTGATAGTTTCTAATTCAGCAGGTCCTAGTTAGGGCTCCAGAATTTGCATTTCTAACAAACTTCCAAGCAGTGTTGCTTCTGCTGGTAAAGGGACTATAATTTGAAACCATTTTGTTCAGATAAACAGAATTAGACAAGGCATTGAAGAAATACAAACATTTAAGGTAATTTTCTTTCCTGTATTCAAATCTTATTGATTCCCTAACAATCTCCCCTTATCTGTTCCAAAATTCTTTCCTCAAGCTCCCAGTTCATGTGATTCTTGGCATATGATTTAACTGGATATTTTTAATGATAAAGGCGAAGCCA